TCGGTTGGACAGCTCATCCCTAGACGCAGAGTAGAAAGTTGAAACCCTGCTGGCTAGTCAAATGATATCCGTGTTGGATTGTTTTCCCCAGTACTTGTGATGGTGTGAGGTTGTCTTGGGTAGATATTATATTTATAATTATGAACTGGGTAGTTTATACCTATACAGTCATGGGAGATATTGTGGTCTATTTTTTTATTATTATTTATATATGTGTATACGCTTAGTTAATTGAAAAGCTTTCCTTGCATATTACGTTTTGTAAGTCTATGTCTCAGAAGCGGTCTATACTATATTGAGATTATGGGATTACCTTGGTTTTAAATTGATATGAATGATTTCAATTGCATGTTTTTAGCATCGTTTTCCAAACAGCGGGGTTAGTATGTTGTTTTCAAATATGATAAAACTTTATTTTTGTCCACTCACAATTTTCTGTTTTGCACTCCCCGGGCAGTAGTTGACGCGAACCAAACAGTCAAGTTGAGCCTTCCTCTTCTCGCGCCTCAACTACTTTGTAGGACACTTGTTGTCCATTTCTTTTAAACTTCTACTTGGGTTGTTTAACTAAAGATTCTTAGATTGCTCTGATATTGCCCGTGTAGGACTGAATTTAAGGTCGGAGGCCTATTTTATAATCGGTATGCTATTGCATTGTGCATGCTGGCAGTTGGATTATTATTTCTGTTATTTTTCACATGTGTAAAATTTTGGTAAAGTCCATTTTTCAAGGGAGACTCTGTCGAAATTTGTGTAGGAATATCAACTATCTTTTCCTTTGTTTTCGGAGAAGAGGATGTTATTAGTAAGTGGGCCCGGCATCGATTTGATGTCGAAAAAACCACAGGGTTTGTCACGGGTTCCAAGGAATTCATGGCGAGCCCTGTCATAACATTGTAACTATAACTATCCCACAACTGATCTTGAAATTTGTAGAAGTAAAGTACGTGTGTGTATATTGGCCATTTGATTATCCATCTTTGTAGGGTACTTCGTTTTTGTCTTCTCGTTGATATAAATGTGATCTGCCATCAATTCCAAGTGTCGTTGGTATAAAGTCCTCTATTAAATTGAACCATAAAGTCCACCAAGGAATTTTTGTTCGGCACATATCTCTTGAAAAATGCATGCCCACTTTCTTCATTTAACCCACTAGCCTCAACAATACCCTTCCATCACAAGTCAAACTCACCTCAATTCTCCAAATCTCAAACACATTATCTAAAGTCTTGATGGTGAACATTACACTTAGCTTGTCAAAGAATTTATTCAAAATACGTGGGCTATAGTATCTGTGAAATGTGTTTGGGAAAGCTTTTGGAGTGGCTTTTGTCATTGCAGGGTCTTGATTAGTAATAATAATTTTGGGAGCATCACTTGGCATAGTCAAGAAAAAATTATTGTCTAACCATGGTTGTTTGCTCCCATAATTGGTTCAAATATCATACAATATCGATTGGTGTTGTAGGTAGTGTCGAAGATAACAACATCACCATAAAACTTGTATGATCGTCCAGAAATTGCATCAGCCCAAAAGCATGGAGTATTGTCTCGACCTTGAATATCAACTCTGGATGTTTTTCTTGCTGATTCATGAAATGATCATACAACATATACCCATCTTGACCCTAGATCTTCATATGTTTGTCTCTATAGGAGTTGTACATATCATGTTGGGTAGAACCAAAATTATCAATGTTTTCTGCTTTAATTGCTAGAATATCATATTATTGGTGTGTGGATATGTTTACGGAGGTTAGTTGTTGTGCTATAAGTTAATGAACACTAGAAATTTGACAATGACACTTTAACAAGTGGCACCTTCATAGGGTTATTGGATTTTTGGTGGGTCATAAGTGTGAAAACGGTTTATAACATTTAAACGAATTCTCTCGCCCACATAATTTCATTAAAACATATCCAACAACTGAGAGTTTGATCCCTCAAATTGTTATTTGAGGAATCCTTCAACTAGAGGTGAAAAATGAGGCCTTGCGGCCTGAAACCTTCAAACATTTTTTAGCCTTAGTTCAATGCCATAATTAAAAACAAAAAAAATTTAATATACATTCTTGTACATCTAATCTTAAGGTTGAACCAATACGTTAGCATACCACTTTACCATGGTAGAGTTTTGAAACAAGGCTGAAGCTTCAAAATTAGGATTACTAATCAAAAGTCAGACCAACAACTTAGGCCATCTCCAGCCATGGGCTATATCCCAAACATAGCCCTAAAATAATGCAAAACCCATCTCCAGCCATGGGCTATATCCCAAACATAGCCCTAAAATAATGCAAAACCCATCTCCAGCCATGGGCTAAACAAAATTTTGGCCAAATTTGGAGGCCACATTTGACCCTTTAGCCCTCCAACCAGCCCACATGTAGCCCAGTTTTGGCCTAAGCCAAATTTTTTGTGGGCCCCGTGCATGTGCTTTTGAAGAAGATAAATTATCAAGTGTGGGCAAGAGCACGAATCATCTCGTGCAAATGCATATCCAACAACCAACATTAAAAACGATATATATATAAGCCTAAAAAATTCTTGGTCGTGGCCGTTGGAGGTCAGACCATTGAAACTCATCCATTTTTTATTTTATTTTTTAAACGTGGTCACGTTTTTAAATGTTTTAAATACGTGTTGTTTAAAAAAAATTATAAAAAATTCTTGGTCATGACCGTTGGAGGTCTGACCATTAAAACCCATCCTTTTTTTTTTAATTGCCTTTGTTGGCTTTATTATTATATATTTTTTTAATTTAAAAACTTAAAATTTGTCTATAAATACCTCAAAATTTCTTCAAAAATTTTCCCACTCATTTCATTCCACATTTCTTACAAATTCTATCACATTCTCTACTTATTCACAACTTTCCACACTCCTTGTTGTCAAATATTTTCCACACTCATTTCCTACAAATTTATTTTCTTTACACTCTTTCTTGTTGTCAAATACTCTTCACACTCTTTCTTGTTTGAAAAATGTCCCAGACTTTGAAGGGACGAAATTGGTCAGGAGTGGAAGATGACATCTTTGCAAGGCTTTCATAAAAGTCTCTGAAGATAGCATTGTGGGTACTAACCAAAAAGGCACTGGGCTTTGGGAACGTATCTCACAAAAATACACAGAGTCTATAGAAGGCATCATCAATTCTTCCATTTTCAGAAACCATGAGAGTTGTGCTGGCAGATGGGAGAAGCACATCTATTCGAGCTACAACCTATGGCATCGAGCCATCAAAACCGCCGAAAAAACCTATACTAGTGGAACCAATATCTCCGATTTAGTGAGTTATTATTTTTTATGTTTATTTTAATTATTTATATTGATATTTTAGAAATAAATGTGTTTATAAGTTTTGGTATTTTTCATTTTTTAGCGACGCAAAACAGAGGAAATTTATGACAAGACACCATTTAAATTTGATCATTGTTCAGATATTGTTCAACATTGGGTGGGTTTTCAAGATCCACCGGAAGAAATATATGGTACTCCATTTAGCCAAAGAAATGTGAGCTTTAATTTGGAGGAGGATAATGAACAATCACCAAACATTGTAGAAGATCCGTCTCCAAGTCAACCATCTATCCTTATGACGCTAGGACAAAATAAAGCAAGAAAGGAGAAGCAAATGGCCAAGGAAAAGGATGCCAAGGTAGTTGGGGACGAAATTGTTTCCGCCTTGCTAACTCTTGCATAACAAACCACCAAGGTAGAAAAGGATAAGAGGAAGAGATATGAGCAAATGGATTAACAACGACAAGAAGAGATGGCTGAGAATAACATGGCTAGGAATACCGCAGACATGACTCCAAACTCTAAAGAGTTTTTTGAGGGGAAAAAGAGGGCAATTCGAGAACGACATCATTCTCGTGAGTTGTTTCCAAATGCTAGTTCACTATCAGATGACTGTTGTCCAGCATTCCAAAGTGAAGATGATTTTACTATTTAATATTAGTAGTTTGTGTCTTTATATTAAAGTAGTTGGTATCTTTAATATTTAAGTTGGTATTAGTAGTCTTTATATTGAAGTAGCTTGTAGTCTTTATATTAGTATTTCGTAGTCTTTATATTAAAGTAGTTGTTGTAGTTGGTGTATTTATATTATTATAGTTGGTGTTGTCTCTAAATAGTAGCTGAAGTGCTTATTCATGTCTTTATATTATTCATGTCTTTAATATTAATAGTTGGTGTCTATATATTATAGTTGTTATAGTCTAAATTATTCATGTGGTAGCTAAAGTGCTTATGACTGTACTTGTTTTATGTATGTTATCCGTACTGGTTCAAATAAATCACAAGCCACACAGAGAAGTTATAATGAATTCAATTTATTACAACATACCACGTAAATGAAAACAAGCCACACAACTTAAAATAAAAGCAAGCCACGCAACTCAAAGTAAAAACAAGCCACACAACTCAAAGTAAAAACAAGCCACACAACTCAAAGTAAAAACAAGCCACACAACTCAAAGTAAAAACAAGCCACACAACTCAAAGTAAAAACAAGCCACACAACTCAAAGTAAAAACAAGCCACACAACTCAAAGTAAAAACAAGCCACACAACTCAAAGTAAAAACAAGCCACACAACTCAAAGTAAAAACAAGCCACACAACTCAAAGTAAAAACAAGCCACACAACTCAAAGTAAAAACAAGCCACACAACTCAAAGTAAAAACAAGCCACACAACTCAAAGTAAAAACAAGCCACACAACTCAAAGTAAAAACAAGCCACACAACTCAAAGTAAAAACAAGCCACACAACTCAAAGTAAAAACAAGCCACACAACTCAAAGTAAAAACAAGCCACACAACTCAAAGTAAAAACAAGCCACACAACTCAAAATAAAAACAAGCCACAAAATCATTGTTCTTGGCCTCGCATGTTCCAGAGATGCGCAACAAGGTCGTCTTGTAAGTCATTGTTTGCAACAGGACAACGTATTGCTCTATATTGACTCATGTATGCTTCCATGGAGATTCTACCTGTTCATAGATCTCGAGGAAAATCGGGTCCATCATATATCGATGCACAGGCTCTCTTTGACCTATTTGGATCAGAATCTTCGTTGTCGGACTCTCCATCGTAGTAGTCATCCCGTTCGTCTTCCACAATCATGTTGTGCAGTATTATGCAAATCATCATAATGGAGTTAAGTTTTGCTAGACTCCACCCTTTTGTCGGTTGCCTAATGATTGCAAATTGAGCTTGAAGAATATCAAAAGTTCTTTCAACGTCCTTATAGTATGCCTCTTGCATGGTGGAAAAATATTCATCTGCCGCATTCTCAGGATGTCTAATTGATTCAACAAGTGTTGCCTACTTTGGGTAAATACCATCAGCAAGGTAATACCCTATGTTGTATCGACGATCGTTGATGTAGTAGTCTAGTTGAGGTGAGTTACCCTCCGTGAGGGAATTGAAGAGAGGTGAATGTCCGAGTACGGTGATGTCATTTTAGGCCCCCAGGATTCCAAAGAAAGCATGCCACACCATGTGTCAAAGGATGCTATCACTTCCAAAACAATAGTTGGTTTTTTTGATTTACCACTAAAAGACCTTTTCCATCCCATTGGACAATTCTTCCACACCCAATGCATGCAGTCAAGGGATCCTATCATTCCAGGAAAGCCCCGCCTCTCCACTCTTTCTAGGAGCCTATTTTGGTCCTCATGTGTTGGTTGTCGAAGGTACTCATCCTTGTATGTGTGAACAATTGTACGGCAAAATTCACCAAGGTTCTCAATGGAAGTTGACTTAGATATCCTCATGGATTCATCGATTTGATCTGCTGAGCTTGCATATGCCAACATTCGGATTGCACTCATAAGCTTTTGGTGGGGCGAGAAACCAAGATTACCAGTGGCATCAGTTGTCTGTCTGAAGTAGGGGTTGACATTTGGGATATCATTTACCAAACGAAGGAAAACATGACGCCTCATTCGGAATCGACGTCTGAAGTCCTCAAGCGTGTAGATAGGATTTGGGACAAAGTAGTCCATCATCAATTTTTTATGCCCAAGAGCTCCACTACAAGAAAAAAGTCCTTTCACAACGCGCAATGTGCGTTGTGAAAACATATTGACAACATGCGGCGCACGTTGTTGAAGCCAATGTCGTTCAAATGTGTGGGGCTTTCGACAACACGCATTGCACGTCGTCGTTTATTTTGGCGCTCGTTGTGAACAACATTAACCACAACACTCGCACATTGTAGGAGAGATTGACAACAACATGCCGAGCGTGTCATTTTGTAATATTATGACAACGTGTCTGTGCTCGTTGTTGTTTATGTTTTGACAACAGGCAATGCACGTTGTTATATCAAATATATATGTTTTTTTTAATAATTATCAAAATTACCTGATAAAAGTATAATTTATCTATAAATTGAAGCTCTATGATAAACATAAATATTTCCTTACTTTACATTCATAAGGCATCCTAGAATACAAAGCTTTCATTCAAAAGATAAATAAGGAGTTCCATACATATTACAAAGTTATATTCATCCCAATTATTCTAATTGTGCAAAATGATTGTTCTATGCATATAATTACAGTTCAAAATCCTTGTCAAAATAATCTAAAAACATGATTGATTGCACTCAGATCTTGCTGAAACATGCTTTAGAAACTTGGTTAGTTGCACCTCAAAATCCTTGTCAAAATGGTGAGTATTGCAATTTGGAAGCATTGTCAAACATAGTCTAAGCACCTGAAAAAATAACATATGTAGCAAAAAAGAGATTATTATGTTATATAGAAACTTTGAATGTTCAGCAATGTCAAAGTAAATTGAAAATACCTTAGTTAAGCAATTTTATACAACTTTTTGGCCATGCAACAATACTGCCTAAAGCTTCACCAAGTCTTCGTGCTTCATCTGTGGGCCTATACAAGTTAAGTTGTTCATCAAGCACTTCATCAACCCAAACCTTCCAACAATCGCGTCCAAGAGGCATATGATGAACTTTAACACTTGGGTCTGTTGAGGCAATATGTCCCTCAGCTACAACTTGCTCCAGCTCAAAATTGTACCAGTGTAAGAGTTGGCATCTTCCATACTCAAGATTGCTACTTTGACCACATCTTGAATTCACATTGTAACTTTTATCTTGTACATGACGGCTTCCTTGTTGTGACTATATGAAATACAATGGAAGATGAATATAATTTAGAAATTATAAGCTATCTCACAGTTTACTATATCATGCTATAATTATCATCTTGAGAAAAAATTTGTGATTTAATAAATAACTATATGAATAAATGCTTCATAAATTATTTTAAGAGTTGTATACCTCTTGAGACATTTTAATAAATGCTTCAAGTTTGGCTTCAATTAGCTCCATCCTTTGAGATTGAGATTTCACTACGGACTCAAGTTCCTTCACTCGTCCACTGCCTTGAATTACTGCATCTACTCTAGAGGGTGTTGCACCAAACCCAAGCCCTCGAACTCGGCCACAACTTTCAGGTCCTATAACTCTTGCTATAGCATCATCTCGTATAGAATTTCTCGATGGTGGATTCTCTTTTGACTCATTGCACATCTTTATATTTTCTATAATATATAAACCATAAGCTTAATAAACTAATATCACTAACACAGAAACAAATATTCTTATAAAAATTAATGCATCATAACCAAACCTCATCAACTTCAACTGAATAAACCCAGCAGCTTCAACTGACTAAGTCACATAGACAAATAATATTAATTTGAAACTTTCATTTGGTGTCTTACCAATATGTTGCTAACAACTTCGTTAATTGGTGTACCATTCTTTCTCTCATGCGCTTTTGTCCACAATGTGACTCTATTTATTTCTTCAGGATTTGGATGATTTAATTTCTACATGAGAACAAATTAGGTATCTACTTGAAAAAAAAAATTAAACTAAATATTTGGTCGTATGCTTAGTAATCATACCATGTCATACTCCATATGGGCATAGCCTTTTCGACTCATTGTATGTGTGTACTTTTGCTGCTTTCTCATTGCTCTAAATTTTTCACTTAGTTTCTGCAAGAGACAAATAGTTACATCAGTGAAAAAAATGTTAGAAATTGATAAGAATACCTGAAAGTATAATGATTGCTAAGAAAGAAATACTTACTTGAAATTCTGCTCCAAGTCTTTCTTTGACAAATTTGTCCCAATCTTCCTTTGACTTTAGTCTGGCTTAACAAGGGCAATGGCACGTGCCTTATGCTTTCTTTTACTTGCTTCACGAATTGCTGTTGTTATTTTTGATTTAAATTGTCTCCAATATTTTCCCATCATCCTAAAAGTAAAGTTTTTATGCTCATCTCCCACTATGTAGTTTTGCTGTATTTTCAAATACAATAGCAGTTCATTTTCCAAGTAGAGAACGGGTCAAATAACAGTTTGGTATATAAAAATTAAAATTAAAATTAAAAGCAAACCTAAATTAATGGCCAAAGCTCATCCTTGTTTATTTCTTTAAGGTCCTTCCAACTTGACATAACAATAGGCACATGCGCTTGGGTTTAGACCCCAAGAAATGAGGCAAAAGACTCTGAATTTGGACCACATAGTTGTCCCCGGAGATTGAAACTAACTTCTAACTGTGATTTTTTGCCTAGGGGAATAACTGCCATTCTAGTAGGACCTCTCTTCTTTTTTTTGTTCTTTGATTTGTGCAACATTTTCAGCTTGTGCTGGTTGCTCTTCTACATCAGTGGCTGGTAGAGTATATGAAAAATTGGACCTCAAATTAAATTTTCTAACCTCATTTTCACCCTGTCCTCTCATTGTAGTTTTCCGCTGCCAATTATCTTGTTGTTTACCTCTTGGTTGTTTCTCTTTGTTATTCATCCTCTCATCACATATACGAACTCCCAAATTTCGACGTTCAGTTGCAATAACCAATGCTGCCTTGATTTGTTTTGATGTTCTCTTCACAACAATCTTAGAAGAGTTCACAGCACAAATACATAAATAAAATTAGTACCGAGTATTATTCACTTTGAAGAAAAGTATAAAAAATAAATAAAAAAGTCTCACCTCACCACCAGACATCTTGTGATATAATTGTCAAAAAACTTTGACAGCAACCAACCTAGAAAACAATAAATACATGATTTAGCTATGTAGTGACATATTATCCCTATATACTATCAACTAGCACTGAAATTTAAAAAATCACCACTCTTTAAAGAGAGGATGTTAAATACAGCAAGCGAAGACATATATTTAATATTATCCTTTCACATCCAATGTTAGACGATTTATTACACTACTCATCAAAAAACAATCCATCGACGTCCATTCGCACATATTGTTCATTCTCATCATCATCATCATAATCAAGTTTTGATACATCAAATGGGGTAGATGTGCCACTTTCCATCTCATCGAATATCTCCAAATCTTGAAATCCTTTGGGAGGTGCTTTCATGACAACATACCAACTAGATGTCTCATCCTCCCTAGAATAAAAAACTTGTTTAGCTTGTGATGCTAAAATGAAAAGATCCCTTTCAAACTGACTTTGTCCTTCGTGGAGGTTAACTAAGGTAAATCCATCATCTAGTTTGATGCCATTCACAATGCTTGCCCAATCACACTTGAATAAGGCAATATAAAATTCATGATATGACAAGACTATGACTTCTCTCAAAACCCCATAATAAGCTACTTTCCTTGTGATTGGTGTATGGTCTCTTGCACTAGATACACAAATAGTTGTTGCCTCAAGTGAAACACCGCTGTTTTGATGAGTTTCTCAGATTCTTTAGTGTGAAACTGAAGACCATTAATAATAAAACCAGAATATGAAATTGCATAGCGACTAGGCTCACGCGCAAGCCACTTTAAAGTATTTGACACATTGTGAACCATCTTCTCTGCCCTAATCTGTCCAAAATGTAAGCATGTTTTAGATTTAAGTATCAATTACATAAAATTCAAAATCCATTAATCATGATAAGATCTCTTAATACCTTAGCATCCAACCATGTGCTAAATGACTCCACGTGCTTTTTCTGTAATAAAGTTTCATTCTTTAATAGATGTCTACTTGAGTGCCTAAGTTCATCCAAATGCATCCTAACATAGTAAGTAATGTGTTAGGAATTTTTTGAAATGTCACTTCCATGCAAGGTTACAAATTAGTAAAAAGGTTACAAAACTTACTCTCTATATGGCTACACTTCTACCATATTGAACAACACTTGGCGATGAGCAATTTGTAACATCTCATTTGTAAGAATTATTTGTTTTCCTTGAGATATTGGACGCCCTTCCAGCAGTAAATCATTTTCAAACTCTTCATTGCGCGCCTTCCTGGAGCCTATATCATCAGCTTGCTTTATATACCTGCTACATAACAAAGCACACTCTTTAGCTAGGTAGCGTTCAGCTTCCGGTCGTGCACGATTCATAACATATCCTTTCAACACTTTCATATACCTAAAATACCAATGAGTTAGAATTGAAACAAATTTCATTTCAAGTTTAAAATGTATATTAATTTTGATAAATTGAAAACTACCTATCAAATGGATACATCCAACGATATTGAACCGGTCCACATAGACGAGCTTTCCGTCCTAGGTGGATTGTCAAATGCACCATTACATCAAAGAAAGAAGGAGGAAAGAACCTTTCTAACATGCACAACATCTGTACAATGTCTTCCTCCAATTTTTCTAGTTTGTTTCTATCTACAACTCTTTGGCATAACTCATTAAAGAATGCACACAACCGGAAAATTGCAGTCCTTGGACCTTTAGGTAAAAGGCCCCTCAATGCCACTGACAGCAATTGCTGCATTAGCATGTGATAATCATGGGACTTGTGACCAAATATCTTACTATCTTCCAAGGAGATACAATTTCCAATATTTGAACCATAACCATCAAGTAGTTTTAAATTGGCAAGCCTCCAACAAAAAGTTTCCTTCTCTTTCTTTGATAGAGTGTGAGGTGCTGCAGATAGATAAAAACGCTTTCCTGTTTTTTTGGGGTGCAAATCTTTTCTAATCCCCATATTTTCCAAGTCTTTACAAGATTTGATGTCATCCTTAGATTTTCCCTTCGTAAGTAAAAGTGTTCCAATAATACTCTCACAAATATTCTTCTCTACATGCATGACATCCAAATTATGACGTAGAAGTAGATTCTGTAAATCAATAAGCAATATGGTGTTATAGTAGTCATTGCAATAGCTAACCTATGCCAAAAATAAGAAATTAAATAGAAACATTTTCAGCAAACTACTAATACTATAATTTATAACATACCTTCCAATATGGCAACTCAAAAAATATTGATTTCTTTTTCCATATAAGATCAGAAAAATTCGCATCTTTCATTTGATTCCTCTTCCTCTTCCTATTTTTTTCCTTCTTTTCCTTGGTTTCTTTTTTTTCCTTGTTGTCTTTTCTTTGTTTATTCTTTTTTCCATTCTTGTTCTTTTTCCCCCAATCAGTCATAATGCTATCAACTTCAAGATAAATTTCTTCACCTGTAGAAATCTTTGGTCTACTCCTATCTTCATGATGTCCATTAAACCAACTCATTTTCTTGCAATATGGATGATTCGAAGCAAGAAATCTTCTATGACCCATGCATGAAAATTTATGACTATGTGTCAACCAATCAGCACATGTGTCTTTACGACAAACTGGACATGCAAACCTTCCTTTGGTAGACCATCCGGATAGGTTTCCATAAGCTGGAAAGTCATTTACTGTCCACATCAAAATAGCTTTTAGGTTGAACGTCTCCTTATTAAATGCATCATACACCTTCACCCCATTATTCCATAGATCTTTTAAATCATCTATAAGTGGTGCCAAATAAATGTCTATGTCATTACCTGGCTATTTTGGACCTGGGATTAGTAAAGTCAACATCAAACTCTCCTTAGACATGCATAACCAAGGAGGCAAATTATATATAACCAAGACAACTGGCCAGCAACTATATTTAGAACTAAGATCTTGAAAAGGGTTAAAACCATCAGTACAAAGGCCAAATCTAATATTTCGAGGGTCTAATCCAAAAGAAGGCCACTTCTTGTTTATCCTATCCCATGCCAAGGAATCAACAGGATGTCTCATCTTACCATCTTGACTTTTATGTGTTGAGTGCCACCTTAACTGTTCAGTTGTCTCAGTTATTGCATACATCCTCCTCAATCGTGGTACTATTGGAAAGTAACACAATACTTTTGCAGGGACTCCCTTTTCAATTTTAGAATTGCGTTGATTCACTTTCCATCTCGAAGAACCACATTTAGGACATTCCTCTACCATCTCAAGATCATTTCTAAATAGACAACAATCATTCACGCATGCATGTATCTTCTCATATCCAAGTTCAAATGCCTTATATATCTTTTTGGTTGTATATAATGAACCAGGAAGTGTGTTATTTTCTGGTAGCATATCAACAAAAATTTGAAGCATTTCATCAAAAGCATTATCTGTAAGACTAAGCATTTCATCAAAAGCATTATCTGTAAGACTATGTGTTGCTTTATACTTCAACAAAGCAACAACTGCTGACATCTTTGTATACTCAGTACAACCAAGAAACAAAGGAGTTTCAACTTCTCTAACAAAATTTTCAATTTCTGCCTCTTTACTTTCACAAGGGTACCTCTCAAATTCATCATTTTGGAAATAAAAGTCATGGTACAACCTATATGCCACAGGCATTTCCACATCTTCATATTGAACATTATTACTTGGACTTTCACTATGAAAAACCCAAGTGGTGTACGCAAGATCCATGCCTTTTATGACCAAGTGTTCATACACTAAATTAAAGTGGTAATGTTGTAGGTTTCTGCATTCCAAACAAGGGCATACTATAATATCTAAGTTTCCCACATGTCTTTATGCTACATTGACAAACTGACGTGCTCCCTTTCTGTATTCATCTGAAAATCTATAATAAAGTTTTATTTAATGAAAAAGATATAGTTAATAGTACTGGAAACCTAATACTCTTTCAAGTTATATATGGTCAACTTGTTAAATTGCAGCCATTCGTTATCCATCTGAGAAACAAATTACATCATATATGTCACTCCATTTATATGAAGAAGAAAAAAACTAAAATCAAATTAAGACATAAAAATAATAGTGATGAATTGAAATAGAAACCTTCACAAGAGTAGTAGTATTGGAGTTTATAGTTGGTGCCCACTTCCTAGTCCATTCAATTTCAAACAATTTCTTTCATGGCTTCCTTCACCAGCTTCTTTGCCTTTCTCACCGTCTCTTCCTTCACTAGCTTCTTTGTCTTTCTTGGCTTCATTCTTACTAACCATTTTTCATCCGTGTTACAACCTTTTTTTTTTCTTTTTTTTTTTGTAATCATTCCCAAAACATGATTCCTTCCCCTGCTTTTTCATTTTTGTTACATAAAAAAAAAGTACAAAAAATATAAATAAATAAATAAAAAGTTGGAAAGCGAATTCCTTTTACAATGAGGCATGGCTTGGTTAAAGTGGATCAGCACAAGGGGCAGAGAAATCTAAAAATATATATATTAGTTTATGTACACGTGATCATCATCAATATATATTATAAATAAATAAAAAAACAAACAACAACACTTTCTTCTTCTTCTTCTTCTTCTTCTTCTTCTTCCTCATCATCTTTATCGTCCACACTTCAAATTTGCACGATAGGAGCCTTTAGTTTTGCGCTATGAATCTCCTATCCCGGGTTTTCACGCACAGCTTCTTGGGGCTCATCACTTGAGCTTCCAAAAATCACTATCTTAGCTTCAGCAAAACTAGAGTCGTGATCTCCGCGTTTGCGTTTACTCGGTAGCTCCGAGGCCTCCTGTCGTTTTGGCATCTCTTTAGAATAAAAAGTTATCATCTTTGATCACTTTCATTTTCTGCCCGCAAAATCTCAAGCTGGTGTGGATGCTGCTCTTCCCTCTCTGTTTTATCCTTTTTCAGTCTTCTGTTGTCATGCTGATATTCATCAACCAATTTCTGCTCCGTTGTCAATTGAGCTTTTAGGAATTGCACCTCATGAGTTTTTGCAATGAGGCAATGCCCCACACTTACAATACATGCCGCACTCTGCACGTCCATTGCCACAACATCGCTCACTATGTGGTTGTCATCCCTCATTCCCAGTATGTGCAGATCCCTGGGAGTCACCAAACTCCTCGCAACTCTAATGGCAACATCGTTCAAACAATTTCTTTCATGGCTTCCTTCACCAGCTTCTTTGCCTTTCTCACCGTCTCTTCCTTCACCAGCTTCTTTGTCTTTCATGGCTTCATTCTTACTAACCATTTTTCATCCTTGTTACAACCTTTTTTTTCTTTTTTTCTTTTTTTGTAATCATTCCCAAAACATGATTCCTTCCCTGCTTTTTCATTTTTGTTACATAAAAAAAAGTACAAAAAGTACAAATAAAAACAAAGTTGGAAATCGAATTCCTTTTTCAAGGAGGCATGGCTTGGTTAAAGTGGATCAGCACAAGGGGCAGAGAAATCTAAAAATATATATATTAGTTTATGTACACATGATCATCATCCTGATCTCTTGGACCACAGGGGTCGAAGAAATTGTGGTCACCTACCGTTGGATATTAATCCAATGGTTCAAAAAAGTTTCTTAAAAGGAGTGCAAGAGTGAGTGAACCGTTGAATTTACATCCAACGGTGAGTGACCACAAATCTCTTGGACCCCTGTGGTCCAAGAGATCGGGACTGTCAATATATATTATAAATCTAAGAAATCTCACCATTAACTCTCTTTCATTGTTGGGGCCAAGTCCTTAACTTTTCATTATTATAGTTAATTGCATCCGTTCAATCGTCTTCAACTTTGTCGCGACTTTCTATGGCGTCTTGTCTTCTCTCTCATTAATTGCGTCCGTTTAGAAAGCTTTGTGGCGACAAAATTGAAAATGCGGGAAATCAAAAAGAGAGAAAACAAGGAGGAAAAGAAAGCAGAGAGAAAAAAAAATCAAATTAAGACAGAAAAATAATAGTGAGGAATTGAAATAGAAACCTTTGCAAGAGTAGTAGTATTGGAGTTTATAGTTGGTGCCCACTTCCTAGTCCATTCAATTTCAAACAATTTCTTTCATGGCTTCCTTCACCAGCTTCTTTGCCTTTCTCACCGTCTCTTCCTTCACCAGCTTCTTTGTCTTTCATGGCTTCATTCTTACTAACCATTTTTCATCCTTGTTACAACCTTTTTTTTCTTTTTTGTGTAATCATTCCCAAAACATGATTCCTTCCCTTGCTTTTTCATTTTTGTTACATAAAAAAAAAAGTACAAAGAGTAAAAATAAAAAAAAGTTGGAAAGCAAATTCCTTTTTCAAGGAGGCATGGCTTGGTTAAAGTGGATCAGCACAAGGGATAGAGAAATCTAAAAATATATATATATTAGTTTATGTACACGTGATCATCATCAATATATATTATAAATCTAAGAAATCCCACCATTAACTCTCTTTCATTGTTGGGGCCAAGTCCTTAACTTTTCATTATTATAGTTAATTGCGTCCGTTCAACCGTCTTCAACTTTGTCTCGACTTTCTATGGCGTCTTGTCTTGTCTTTCATTAATTGCGTCCGTTAAGAAAGGTTTGTCGCGACAAAATTGTAAAAGCGGGAAATCAAAAAGAGAGAAAACAAGAAGGAAAAGAAAGCAGAGAGAAAAAAATCAAATTAAGACAGAAAAATAATAGTGAGGAATTGAAATAGAAACCTTTGCAAGAGTAGTAGTATTGGAGTTTATAGTTGGTGCCCACTTCCTAGTCCATTCAATTTCAAACAATTTCTTTCATGGCTTCCTTCACCA